GTGTGTGTGTATATATATATATATATATATATAGTCCCGCCTTCTATGTTGACTGTTTTTCGTTTCCGTTGTTCATTATTGCACATTTTCGTGGTTATTACAAATGTGTAACGAAAACTGCCGAGTTTTGACAAAGGGTGTATTTTACCTTGGACGATATGTAGGGTAGACATTGTTATAGAGCGTGTAATATCACGTTCTCCTCATTAAAACGGAGATGGTGAATTCAACAGGAAGGCTGGCGCCCATGCGGCGGGCGCTTATTTTCCCTTTCGTCAATCTATTTATAGGTAGTTACCGGAACATGTATAGGTGACGAAGTGATGTGCCGTGATAGTCGCAATATTGAGATTGTTTTGGTCTCTCTTTACTCATCACCACGCGAATTTGTTGATGTATTTCCCTGGACTCTGCCTTTACTAAAATCTCGAATCTAGACCTATAGTTGTAATCTAGTAGCAGATAGCAGATTTCTGGAATCCAGTACATTCAAGAGATTAAACGAATTGCACTAGACTCAAGTAGTAGGACTCTTCTACTTCGCTACTTCTAGATTTAATGAACCTTCATTCCAGATTACAAAGGCCAAGCCTAGCTAGCTTGTAAGGCTTCGTTTTGTTAAAAGTGTTGTTTAACACAAAGTGTAATACGGGGTGCCACTACAGCTGGATCGGGTCGATCGCCCGACTCGATCGCCTGAAACTGAAAACAAACACGTTTGTTTTTTAGGCGACCGAGTCGGGCGATCGGCCCGATCGGCCGATCCCATGCGTAGTGGGCACCCCGTATAAGAATTTAGCAAACTTAACACATTTTTCTAGCGAAATGAATCTTAAATTGACTTTTATATTGTCAGTAAGAGATCATGTTTAGTCATCTAATCATGTAAGTACCTAAGGAATAAAACAAACAAGGTTCAAGATTGTCTAAGTACTCTATAGATCTACTATAGATCTAGATCTAGAACCTAGATCTAGATTTAGTGGCACCTAGATCTAATACTCATCCCTCTTAGCAAAAAATGGATCTAGATCTAGATCTAGACTAGATCTAGGTCACATCCATACAGAGGCCTAGATCCTAGATACTAGATATAATATGTAAACTGGGCCTAGAATTTAGATATCTAGATCTAGATAGATCTAGGAAAATCGACTATGTTTTTGTCTGAGAATGAACATATTCCTCTGCTCTTGTGCGCTTTGATGTGCACAGTCTAAGAGGGGTGAGTATTAGATCTAGGTTCCCCTAAATCTAGATCTAGATTCTAGATGCAGTATAGAGCCATACTAAGACAATCTTGAACCTGTGTTCGTTTTATTCCTTACTTAGAAGTTAGATGAATAGATGACTAAACATGGTTATTGACAATATAAAAGTAAATTTAAGCTTCATTTCGTTAGAAAAATGTATTTGGTTTGCTAACTTCTTAGACTTTGTGTTAAACAACACTTTTAACAATGAAGCCTTTACAAGCTAGTAAGTTTTGGCCTTTGTAATCTTGAAGGTTTATTAAATCTAGACTCTAGATCTAGAAGTAGCGAGGTAGACGAATCCTACTACAATCTCTTGAATGTACTGGATTCCAGAAATCTGCTATCTGCAACTAGATTAGAACTGGATCTAGATTCGAGATTTTATTAAAGGCAGGGGAAAAAATGAACAAATCGCGTGGTGATGAGTAAAGAGAGACCAAAACAATCTCAATATTGCGACTATCACTATTATAACGGCACATCACTTCGCCTTTTCATGTTCCGGTAACTACCTATAAATAGATTGGCCCCTGTCAAAGATTGGGATGTGGCGGCGGGTTGACGAAAGGGAAAAACGCGGAGCCCATCGCCATAATACACACACAGCGTGTCCGGTCAGAAAAAAAAGCAACTTAGCCTCATGTTAACCGAATCATCTGGAGGCCTACAAGCCTCCTTCCTATAAGCCTTCGTACAGTCACGTACTGACCTGAAATCGACAACCGTTGTTGGGTCGTGCTGACCCATAATGAGGAATGTGACCTTCACCCTTCGGCCTCTTTCTACCGCAAGTCGTGTGCACAGTGCTTAGAGTAGACAAGTGGCAAGTGATGGTTTGTTCTGGCTTCTCTGTTCTTTTATTATACCGTGACCTTATGAACTATTACTAACTCGGCGCCAAAGCTAGCTTCTGCGCCAGGTAGCACAACAACATTAGACTCAATAGTTGAAGTGTGCAACCTTCCCCGCCTGATCAGAATGATGTAGGCCTTGCCTATACAACGTTTGGGCTTGAAATACGAGCGCATAATAAATGTGTTGTTTTTTTTTATAATTAGCGTAATTCATGAGTTAGAACGACAGCGCGGCACCACTAAAGTCTTTGGATAGAAGCAACATAAGAATACATTGTACACGAGTACGCTTTCTGAATTCAGGGGGAGCTGTCTTTAAAGCAGTACCGGTACTTTCCTCGGTTCGCTTGACTTCCTGATCGCGATTTGTTAATTCTTCGTGAGCTCGGTTTCAATTTCGAAAATCTACTTATATTTTCGTTTTTAAAAAAGGGGAAAATAGAAGAAAAAAAGGAAGGAAGACTTATTCCTGCTGAATATTGATTTCCACTTGAATAGAATTAGATATCTAGACACGTCTGTAAAAAAATAAAATAATTACAACCTTGATATTGTACGAGTCACGAAAATATTGTTTTCTTTTACCTAGATAGGAAAATAAGGACAACAACTGCTATTTAGAAAGACGCCAATAAAGACCCAACTGTACAGAAACCCGAGAAATAAAGCCATCGTCGGAAATGGCCTCCCAAAAGAGAGTGTGCGTCATCGGAGCCGGTGTTTCTGGGCTGTTAGCCATCAAGGAATGTCTTGCTGAAGGATTCCTGCCTACTTGCTACGAATCAGATTCTGACATTGGTAAGTAATGTCATTATGTCATTATTTGCTCAATAAAAAAAGACGTTTTTAACGGGTTTTTTCCAGTAGAGAATATACAAAGAGAAGAAAAAATCCCCCCCACCTTGTATTTTTATGTGTCTTTGGGGGTATTCTTAATCTTATCTTCGTGAAGTATCTGAGTGACATCAATGGTCTTTTCGCACACACATGGACCTTGAATCACAAAAGGCCCGATTGGTCTCTCTCTCTCTCTAACAAAGCGTTCTGTAACAGTCTAACTTATTTGTTTGTTTTGGTCTGAAGTTGTTAACTTAGTCGGTATAGTTTCTGCTCTCAGGAACGTTGTAGAAAGGACGATTTTAAATAAGTTTTTCTCCATATAAATGAGCATATAGCATGTTGCCCGTGCTTTGTATGTTGAGGCATCAGGAAAGCAGGGATTGGAAAGGCAGTTCCTTAAGCCCCCCCCCCTTCCCTCCACCCCCAAGAAAAACAGGCATAAAATTCGAGACTTCTCGAGTTCATCTTGTTGAGGCGCTGGTTAGTTTTAGGTGGGGGGTTTTAGTACAGGTTTTACGGCACTCGCCACTGCATTAGGTAATACGAGCGCCAAGGGGTGGATGTATATATATATATATATATATATATATAGATAGAGATGCATTTATATATATATATATATATATATATATATATAGAGAGAGAGAGAGAGAGCGAGAGAGAGAGAGAGAGAGAGAGAGCGAGAGAGAGAGAGCGAGAGAGAGAGAGAGAGAGAGAGAGAGAGAGAGAGAGAGAGAGAGAGAGAGAGAGGGAGAGAGAGAGGGAGAATCTATTTTATTATCATTATATACATGTATATTATAGGTTCTTTCCCGGTGCACACAGACGACAGACAGATGCTGGGTGCTCTCGTGACCTGGAGGTTAAGGTGTTGGCCGCTCATTCAAAGGTCCCGGGTTCGAATCCGGTAGCGACCGAAAAATTTTCTTCTCTAAAAGTGTCTCCTTTCACCTCCTTTCCTGCTCTCTAGCAATGATCTGTAGTCTGCTTTCATTTCCTCTTTCTGCCCCCACCCCCTCACCTCCTTTGCCCCCTCCTCTGGGCTCCTGACTCTTTCTGCAGCCTTTCTACTGCTACTCCTTGGCTCCTCCTTACTGCTGTCTTTCTGCCACATCCCTGATCTTCTGGTAGGAAAGATCTACACCTAGCCTTCTCGGACAAGGGCGAAACATCTTTGAGGGCCCGTGTGCAAGTTGCGCACGTTAAAGATCCCTTGTTGGTCTAAAATCGATAAGAGTAGGCTTCGGCTGCCACCCGGGCAAAATTCAAAATTTCTTACCAACTGAAAATATTAGGTGTGTCCCGCGCGCTCATATGACCGTATGCAGTTGCGAGCTCCGTAAAACACTTTACAAAAACAAAAAAGACAGATTGTGGTATGAGACGTTATTTTATCGAGTGCCCGCGTCTGTCTGCTGAGATGCTGTATCCCACACAGTCCAGGTTGGCCTTGACAGATAGGGCCGAAGTTGCCAGCCTCCTAAAGTATGTGATCTCAACCATGTATACAGAGGCCTAGGCTAATCCCTTTACTACAATACTCTTAAATTATCTCAGTCACATTCATTTTGTTTTGTTTTTTAATGTTTCCTTTTCATCAGGTGGCACCTGGAATCAGTCCAAAGACCCAGCCCATACCCTGACGCCAATGGTATGGGACAGCCTTGTGGTGAACACACCAGGCTACCTCACGTTGGCCAGTGACTTCCCGCCCCCGCCGGAGCTCACGCCATATTTCTCCTGGAAGGTCTCTGGGTGTTTCTCCTGATACTGCTCTCTAGTTCAGCTAGTAGTTGGTGGGCTAGTAAAAGTAAACTTGAACCCTCTCTTCAGAATTAAGTTGACCTACTACGCACATCCAGGGTCTCAGCGTGTGGGAGTCGAGCGTGGCGTCATTAGGAATGACACATATCTTACTTTAAGAATGGGGTACGTGTTTGTTCGGAAAGGAGGGGGGGGGTCAAGTTGACATTAGTTTTTTGTTAATTCTTTTCCGCCCATTTTTCTTACTTCTGTTCGTAATGTTGTAGCCGTTGTTGCATTCGTAAACAATCGGTCTGAGACTTTTAGCTTTTGGAGAAATATATTGTGCACTATGTTGTTCATGACACACAGCTAAGTCTCTTGCTCTCGGTTTTTTTTTCTTTTTTGTTGTTAATGATTGAACATGTTCCGTTATCTTTAAAAAAAAAAACGCAATAAAATATAATAATGTCTTCTTGTCTGCCAGCCCACTACCAAAAACCACCAACTGCGTACAGTTAAAATTAAAGACCCTTATGTGACGCCATAAAACGCACTCTAGATGTAAAACTATAGACAACGAAAAAAAACAACAACAACCCACCCCAAAAAAGAAGAATCTAATCGTTACTTCTAGTTCCCTCGCCGTTCCAAGTCACTTCCAGCTCAATACTTTTTTCCCCCCACAGGAAATGAAGTCCTACTGGGATAGGTATGCCGACCACTTCAAGCTACGCCCCTACATCCACCTAAACACGCAGGTCGTGAAGGTAAGAATCCAACACGGCCTTTTTTATTTACGGAAGGACCTATAATTTACAGTTTAAAAATTTGAATCAGAAGCGTTTGGCTTGCCTTGATAATTAGTTTCATAGCCCCTTCTTATTAATGGATGAAGTAAAACTACTTAAAGGAAATCTGACTTTGCAATGCATAATGAATCGTGAATCTGCATAATGTTGAGGGTTCTGACCACTACGCATTATTCTCATACTCGAATGAAATATGGGACAACGTTGAATTTGTAACTATAACGTGACATGATGCAATAGGTTCATTTCACAATGATATATACAGGTATAGATCTAATGACACATTTGACGTTTCAAAAGTTTCAAGTACCATATACATGTACAAAGCACATGTTGATTTCAGATTATTGTGCTTATAGCCTATATGTGTTTATTATGTATGCATGTGTGTGCATGTGTGTATGTGTGTGTATGTGTGTGTGTGTGTGTGTGTGTGTGTGTGTGTG